GGCGTGGGACACCCGCCGAGGGCCGCCCTTGGAGATCCTGGAGAGCGGGTCGGCCCGGGCCTGCCTCGTCGCCAGGTGCCTGGGAAGCGCAGCTCTTCCACTCTGGAGGCATTGGGATAATCCCACGGGTGAGCGAGTGGCTGACTGCGAGACAGGCTTCTGCCCCTTGTTAGGGGGGCTGGGGTGGATGACTCTGAGTCTTCAGTCAGTTTGCTGCATTTCCGCGTGCCTCAGTTTCTCCATCTGCCTTGGGAATAGCACTTTGGCTAGTGGTGAGAATGAAACCTGTGATAAGTGTCAAGTGCAGCCACTTGTTTGGTACATAGCCACTTGCCGACAAACATGGATTGACCATTACTTTTAAAACCAGAAAGCAATGTCAGACCTCGTTTCCTGTAGAGAAGTTTTTGCGAGGAGGTCTGAGGGGTTGGAAATAGAATTATGAAATCTAGGACCGTGAGCTCCCGATACCACCCCCTTCCCCAAAAGCTGAGCCCACTATGGGAATGTACAAAGCTCTTAGAGGCTAAGGTACCCATTTCGCCCATTTCCAAGAAGGAAAGGTGGAGGCTGAGGAAAGGGAGAGGCTTGTCTGAGGTCAGCGGGTGAATTTGGGCAGAGCTGGGATAGCATCCAATCCTGCTGGGTCTGGCTTTCTGAATTAGTTTCTGTGGCCCTCATTTGGTCAGTCCAAGGGCCTGGAACTCCTCTTTGGGATCCTGGGCATCCCAGGCCCCACCACTTCCACAGCCGTGTGGGTGCACCTGTCTGTCACAGTGATGTGTTGTGACACACCAGCTTACATTGCAGGTGAGTAAACTGAGGCTACGGCTGCAGGAAGTGACTTTCTGGGTATCACCAAGAGCCTGAGTCAGAACTCAAACCTAGGCTTAGCCTATCCTGCATGTCATTCTTCCCTCATAGAAGCAAATCCTTCTGCAGTGGGGCTGGCAGTGGCCTGGCTGGTGGTAATACTCAGGGCCTTGGTCATTCTTGTGGGGGGAGATCTCAGATCCTCTTCTGAGGTTTCTGAGTTCTGTGGAGGCTCTTTTTTGTTGTTGTTGTTGCTCAGTAGGCCCATTAGACTTACAGAAGAAAAAGGGAACACTTGGGGTTTGGGAGAAGTTTTTACTTCCAAATGGGTACAGCTAAAGGACAACTCTCCATAGCTGGCTGTGCTCAGACCATATTCTTAGACTTGCTCCCTACTGGAACCCACTGCATTGTGGCTAACCACAGAAATGGCCAGGGATCCTCCCAGCCAATCTGAGAAGAGGGAGGCTAGAGGTGGCTGTTCCTCTCAGACCCGCCTCCCTTTGCAGGCTTCTCTAGGTGTCTATGTAGGCTGGCTCTGGGTTTGGACCTGAGGTTGGGAGGGAGGCTTCCTGAGTTAGGAGGAGAAGGTGCTCATGAAATCTCAGACCTGTAAGGAAGCCTAGAAGCTGGCACCACTGTGCCCACCATGAATATGAATGCTGAGTCTGAGTGGGAATAGAATAGGATTGTCATTCTTGGTGTCTCATGCAGATATGTGCCTTAACTGTCCCTGTGGCAGAGCTAGGGTGTCTTCCTGCAATCTTAGGACCTGAGGGAGGAAAGATGTGAGCAACTGGAGTCATTAAGCGCTTGCTCTGTTCCAGGAGGCTCTGTTATATGGAGTCAGTTTATCTCATAGCTGAACCAAAGTAAGGAGGTGAAAAGTGCTCCTTCATCTACAGATGAGGTAGCTGAGGCACAGGGGATTGAAATGCTTTGCAAAGTAGAAGAGGGAGGATTCAGTCCACAAATATTTATTGAGCACCTGCTCTGTGCCAGCATTCCTCAAGGTGCTAGAGAGTCTTGAGGCTGCTAGTGTAGAGGAGAAATGGACAAAAAATACACTGTGAGGTATCCTGGAAAACAGATTGGTGAAAGATGAGTGAAGTGTCCAGAATCAGCTATCTAGAAAGGCTCTCTTCAAAGAAGGTGGCATTTAAGTAAAGACCTGAAGGAGGCAAGAAACAGCTACACCCTCAACGAAAGGCAGCAGCAACAGCAAAGGTCCTGTGGTGTCTGGTGTGCATTTAGAATAGCAGGGAGCAATGGAGGATGGAGTGAGGACAGCAGGTAGGATGAAATTAAGAGGTTACAGGAGGTAGATGGTGCAGGGCTGGGAAGTGTGAACTTGTGAGAACTGACTTTGACCCTAAGCAAGATAGATGCTTGGAAAAGTACTCATCAGAGGACAGATGGAGTGGCCCAGGCTCTCCCTAGCTGTGCTGTGGGGAGCAGTCTGTGGGGCAGGACACTATGAGGTCTGTGAGCAAAGGTGAGAAGAGACATCCAAGTCCAGGATGATGCAAAAGGTAGTATGGACAGGACTTGCCGACATGGGATATGAGGAAATGTTCAAGCTCACCCCAAATCTGGGTTCTGAGATGCTAGTGTGTCACTATTTTGTAGGTAGGGAAACTAAGGCACGTGGCTGTTGGACAGCTAAACCACATGGAACCCTGACCTCTCTCAGAGTGCTGTCATCCAGAGGTTGCAGGAAGCTAATAAAAAGCCCCTGCCCACCAGCAGCCCCTTCTTTGGCCTTCCTCCTCCACCTCAGCTGCCAACATTTTGGCATTTCCTATATCCTCCCCAGCCCCTGTTTTGCAGAGAGGAAGACTGAGGCCCTGGAGGGCCAGCAGCTATCTTTAGCCTACTCTAGACTCTGGAGGCAACAGGGCTGAGTGTAGCTAGTAGCCTCACAGGGGTCAAATCCCGCCCCTGTAAGACCCACTACACCCTCACAGGGCCCCCAGACCCCATGTGCCCTTGTGCCCTGCAGCATCCGTGATGCCCATCCAGAGCTGGTGTCTTGAGCAGGAAGGGTGGCAGGACAGGCTGATCTGCCCTTGTGTGCCTCCTGGCTGTGTTGGGCTGAGTTTTCTGGGGAAGAAGGTGACCCATGTAAACCTTGTACGGGCTCCCTCTACCTGAGCCTCTAACCTCTGGCCCCTCCCCAAGCCAGGCCTCTGAGACCCGTTAGCACTCTTCGCCGCCTCAGTCCTTCCATCTGTTCAGTGGCTTTTTGATCTGCCAACTACCTTGTAGGGCTGGTATGGGGCTGGTGCAGTGGTAGAGGAGACCACCTTTCACTGAGATTCCCCATCTCCATCTCCCAGTATCCCCACTTCTCTCTAGCTTTTGTCTTTCTTGTAATCGCCTCCCCTGATGGCCTCCTGAGTTCTTTGATCCTGTGGTTGTGAGGAGTGCAGGGCCCTGGATTGGAGAGACGGCTTCTCAGAAAAGTAGTTACGGTTTGTGATCCTGATGTGATTCACAGGCCCAGGAGAGAGATGTGTGGTAGGATTGTCCCAGGTCAGGTGTGGTCCCTGGTATACCTGGCAGAGCTGCAGACCTAGCCCAAGCTTGTTTCCTAGGCTTCTGGGAGACGAGTTCTGCCCTTTTGAGTCAATCTGAGGCTTGGGGTGCTCAGAACCCAGCTCAGATAAGGGCTTACGGCCATAGCCAAGTTATGCCCAGGGGATGTGCCTTTGTCCCAGGGTGGGACAGTATAGGAGGTGAGAGCCTGGCTGCCAGCACTGCCCCTCATCCTGCTGTCCTGTGAGGGGCAGTGGGAGGTTGGGGAAACATCTGGTTAGATGTCACTTGGGTGACCTGAGAGGCCCTAGGGAGGCACGTGGCAGGTGATGGGAAATCTGTGCTGCTATGGGAGACAGGGAGGCTCTCGTGAGTCAGGGAGGCCAGCGTCCAGGCACATATGGAAGGTGTGCTCACAGGCCTATCGTGGGTCAGACCAGTCAGAGAGCTGGACAGGAAGGCCTGCTCCTGGGCATGCCCATATCCCACAGGTCCACTGAGGGTACCATTGTAGGTGTGCTTCAGAGAACAGTTTTTGTGGGTCAGACGTTTCTTGGGTGTCTATGCTGGGCTGGGTACTGGGAGTAGGGTGATGACTGAGGTGACACCAGAAGTGGGGCAGAGAATCTGTGAGGCATCCTGAGGCCCATTACAGCCCTAGCAGCCGCTCCACTTGATAGAGGGAATGAGTGAACACAGAAGCACTGGCAGACTTGTGCAGGCTGCAGCCCCACCCCTCCTTCCTCTGTGAAAGCTGCCGAAGCAAAAGCTGGGTTTCCTCTCAGTGGCCTGCAGGACCCTGCATGGTCTGGGCCCAAGACCCCCTGACTTACCTCCTAATCCCTGCCTGCAGCTCATTTAGGCCTAGCCTCTCAGCCTCCTCACTATCCCCTGAACATCCTATCCCAGGTCCTTCACATGTGCTGTTCTCTCCACCCTGTCTACTCACCCCCCAGATCTTTCTTTGGGTCCCTCATTCCTTCAGATCTTTGGATAAGAGCGGCCTTCCCTATACACACTCTTTACAATAGCAGCCCCCACTGTCTACCTTTGTCTGTTGTGTTGTCCTTAAGAGCACATAGGTGCTCATAGCCTGAGAATCCTGTCACTTAAAATACTGTTCATACTCTGCCTGCCCTACTGAAACAAATCCTCCAAGAGGAAGGGTTTTCTGGGTTTTGTTTATGGCTGCCTGTTCAGCACCTAAACCTTGCCAGAGCATAGTAGGCTGTCAGTGAGTTTTGGGTGGTGAAATGGTCAGGGATCGTGGGCATCTCCTTCAGTGACCAGATCAGTCCCCAAATAGCATTGCAAGTCACTGGCCCATCCCAAGTGAGCCAATTTAAACCCTAACGGTGTGGCACTGAGAACTGAGTTGCCTGCCAGGAGCTACAGCAGGATGGTGGTCATATCATAAGGAGGATCCTGGAGATGGGGTGGAGGCAGAGCTGGGGGGTGGGTCTGTTTGCTGGACCACTCTGAGAGAGGAAGGGCATTGACAGCCAAGGGAGCTTCACAAGCAAAGGCTGGAGGCCAGAAGTGGAGGACACATTCGGTAGAGCAGAAAGAGTGAACTTGGCTTTGGAACTGGGGGCCTGAAACCCACTGTGTGACCATGTGGCTTGGATCTCTAAGGGCTCAGTCTCCATCTGAAGATTGGGAGCTGAATCATGGCCTCCCTCCTGGAAGTTGGGAGAGACTCAAGGGCCAGAAAACCTCTTCACTGGGGATGAGTGGTTGGGGATGAAAAACCTGTGCTGGTTTCTGATTTGCTGTGGGACCCTGGACTGGTCTCTGTCTGTCAGTCTGCCTCTTGGGAAATCTAGTATGGTCTGAGCCCTAATGGCACATGGAAGAAGTCTCTGGTACTTCAAAGCATGTCAAGTACATTTACTTTTTGCTTGCTTTAAAGTTAAAATACATGAAATACACTGTGCTTTTAAAAGGTGGAGAAAGATATGGGCATTGACGTATCTTCTTTTAAGGCCAGGGAATTATATCTTGCGACCTTGAGATCTTAGCACTGTCCTGCCCTCTGCCTGTCCTTCATCTGCTGGTATCTCAGCCTCTTCACCTCTCAGCTCAGAGGTCTTCTGAGAGCCCCCGCCCCCGCCACTACCACCACTGCACATGGCTTAATGACCCCGTCCTTCCCTGGACCTTGCTTATTTATTTACTTCAGATACATACATGCAACTCCTTGAAGCTCTGAGTTTGCCCTCGACTTTTCTTCTGCTAATTGACCACATCAAAATCCTGCCAGTATGCTCAAAACAGCCTCATAGTCTGCCTCTTCTCTTTCCCTCCCTGCTTCCCTCATTACTCCCTGCTCCTGCCCCTGGTCATTTTCCCCATGGTGGCCAGAGGGACCCTATGAAGTCATCTGTCTCAGCTGGGGACCCTCTTGTGGCTTATAGTTTCATAGAAGGTGCTGCAGGACCTGCGCCCTGGCCTCCCAGCCCTCATCTTCTCCCCTCCGCCTTGCCTCTGCACTCCAGCCACCCTAGTATCCTCACTATCCCTCCTAAAGCCCCACCTGTGCTTCAGAGCCTGTGTGCTGCCTGTCTTCTTTCCCAGAATACTCTTCCCACCCAGTGTTTTTCACACCCCTTCCCCATCCCCTCCCATGCTGTACATTCCCTTGCTCTTCTTGATTATCTTCCTCTCCTTCTAGTCAGTTTCGTAAAGGTAGATCTCCTTGTCTGTCTTGTTCATTTCTATGTGCACAGCACCTGAAACAGTGCCTGGGGCTCTAAAAGCGCTGGGCGGGTAGATGAATGGATGGGTAGATAGACAGAGGATGGGTGGATGAATGGATGGATGGGTGAGCGAGTGGATGGGTAAGAATAGACAAGTGACTAGATGGATGGGTAGGTAGATGATGGATGGATAGAGAAATGGATGCATAGGTGAGTAGATGAATGAGTGAACAGATGAATAGATGAGTGGACAGATAGACAGATGGGGAACTAACAACTGTGATTAGAGGAACTTAAGTATTTTCCAACAGAAGCTTGGGGTGGCTGGTGGTCTCTTTTCTTGGCAGGCCTAAGAGGGTGTGAAGACCTGTGTGTTCCTGCTTCCTGGGCCCAGCAGCAGTTTCTCAGAGATACTTGTGCATCTGTCCTCTGACCTTTGTTACACTGCCAGGGTCCGGTGGGTTGTCCTGCTGCACCTGGTGACAGTGTCTCCCCAGTCTATTTTCTCTGGCTTGGTGGTGGATTTGCTGGGCTTGCTCTGTGTCTTCTGCTGCTCCTTGAGACTCATACTCCCTAGGAGGTAACATGTTGAGCTGGGGGACAGTAGCAAGGGCGCAAGTGTTGCTGGCACCACACTGAGCATTGTGCAGAGATTACTTCATTTAATCTTCCAAGTGGGAGGAGCGTTTTATTGTACCCCATTTTATGAACAAGGAAACAGACACAGAGAGGATGCTTAGACTTCAGCTCAGGTACCATAGCTCCGGGTGCTCATCCCCTCCTGAGGAACTCTGCTGGGCCCAGCCCCAGACCCTGGAGTCTCCACAGTCTTACCTATTCCACCTCTCTCTCAGGGTGCCATGATCGTGCTGTCCTGCTGTACGAGTATGTGGGCAAGCGAATTGTGGACCTGCAGCACACAGAGGTCCCCGATGCCTACCGTGGGCGTGGCATTGCCAAGCACCTTGCCAAGGTAGGGAGGGTGATGGGCAGGGGAACTGGAGCTACCAACATCCCACAACAGTGGAGATGTTTCTTTTCCATGCACAGACTTACAGGCCCACCTTGCCGGCAGGTTACAGTGAGCAGTGGGTGGGTTGTGGGAAGCATGAATCATCCCTTAAGTCCTCTCAGGGCAAATGATAGCCCATCTGGGCCCAGGCTCCTGATTTGTAGAGCCCTGGTATGGCCTAATCCTGTCCTATGGCCCCAGGACCCAGAACATACTAGGTGCACAGTAAGTCTTTGTGGAGCAGATGGGCAAGTGTTCAAGTCACTGGGGTTCTGCTATATCCCCTCATTCCCAGACCCCTGACCAGGCTGCCTGGGAGTTTCTGAGGGCGATTATAGCAGGAATAGAAAAAAGCCTGTGAGCTCCAAGGGCTGCTTGAGGGGTCTAAGCTTGGCCTTGGACTAACTTTTTCTCTTTCCCCACCCCTCCCCACCCTCTGCTTCTTGCCAGGGCTTGGCGCAGGTTAGGCTTCTTCGCCTACCTGCTGTGCTTTCTGGGGCCCTGTGGGGCTCATGTCCTTTCATACAGGACCAGACTGGGGTTATCCTGGGGCACCAAGAAGGAAACTCAGAGTCATTGTCCTGGGCATAGTAGGAGGGTGGCCATGGAGCCTGAGGGCTGTGGATAGAGCCCACCACTGCCACGTTCTCAGGATGGGAACTTGACCAGGCTCTCCCCTCTGCCCTGGCTCCCAGGCTGCCCTGGATTTCGTAGTGGAGGAGGATCTGAAGGCCCATCTCACGTGTTGGTACATCCAGAAGTACGTCAAGGAGAACCCCCTGCCACAGTACCTGGAGCGCCTGCAGCCGTGACCTCCAGGCAAGCACCCTGCGGTCTCCCTCCATGTGGACTCCCTAGACCGAGTGCTCTCAGGACCCTGCTCCCAGGAGCAGGCTCAGAGTTATTTTTGTAAGGATGCACATCCAGCCCGGGACAAGGTTCCTGAAGGCAACTGCCTGAGGCTGGGCAGTGCCGCAGTGACTGAGAGAAGGGGAAGCCAGATGGCCGAGGTCCCCACGGCCCCCTCTTGCAGAGACCCTCCAGCTTTGCACAGACCTTCTGTGGGCAGTGCAAGCGGACCTGAGGGCAACTGGATCCCTGCTCTGTGATCAGCAAGAGGCCATTGTGGGATCCCTGCCACCATCTCTGAGAGCTGCGTCCTTTCTGCACATGAGGAGGATGCTTCCAGAGCCAAGAGGAGCAACAAGAAACTTGATGTGCCAACTTCCGAGGGTCGTAGTGCCAAGCCTCAGCTACCACTGGCACTATCCCCTTCTCTTTCTCAGACTTTGGTGCCCTGGCACAGACAGACAGCAGAGCCACAGTAAAGGGCTGTGTACCTGACGTGAGAGATAAGAGTGGCAGATGGAGCTCCAGCCCGGGCTTCCGTACTTCACTGCACCGATGCTTATACCAACACGTGGGTGTGGACAGGATGGGGGCAATGAGTATCTTCCTCCCCTTGGTACCCTTGTTTTCTGTCCACTCTGCCAAAAACAAGGCCGCTCCCTGCCCTAGGAGCTGTTCACCTCTCCACCCCCCATCTGCCAGGAACCAGCCCTCCCTAGACACCCTAAGTTGCTGCAGCCTAATGAGTATCACAGGGTCCTCAGCCCTTGCTGGCCTTTTTGCTACTGCCTGTCTGGGCTTTGTCAAGAAGGCTCACCTTGGAACTGGGGGGAGGAGGGAGGCATGATGCCTCCCAACAAGCATAATTGTTACCCAAGAGGCAGGAGTTCAGCCCAAGGGGTTTCCCTTGCTGCCACTAGACGCCGGAGTGTTCTCTTTTGTAGCTGCTGTGGCAAGGTCTATCTCGAGTCCCAGGGTCCCTCCTACACCAGCCTTCCTGGTGACACCCTTGGGGAAACTCACTTAGTATACCTTGGCCCTGGGGTACCCACCTTTCTGGGGCCCTGTGTTTCCCCTTTGGGGACGGTGAGGGCTTAGGATCTTGACCTCTTTGCCTTGTTCCCCACAAGGGTTGAGTTCAATCCTCCACAGAGATTAAGGGTGACTCAGGAGTCAAGATTCCTTTTGGGGTGAGGTGTCAGTAAATAGCAAATCCTCTCCCAGACCTCTGGGAGTATCTGGAGTGGGCTCAGGGTACCCCAGCAAGAGGCTAACAGGCCCCCACACCTCCCTCCTCCAGTACACAAGCTCAGGGCAGGTGGATTCTGGGGTGCTGGTTGCCACTGTGACTCCTCCCTTTGGTGCTGGCCTGGCCTGTGGGTGTCTTTTCCACTTTTCTCACTGCCCTAGTCTTGTTATAGAGACCGCTCCCAGCTCTCCTTTCTCAGCCACAGCAGCTCAGGCCTATCCCAGACATATATACTCACATGGCTTCTCACCTTCACCAGAAGCATCAGCATCTGCACACACAAGAAGGCCTGGCAGCCTGCTGTGGGACCACTGAATCCACAGCCCTCATCCCCCACTACTGTGAATCAGTGGCAGTTACTGTCCTTAGCACTGTCACCCCTCCTGTATTCTGGGCCCTTGCCCTGTGCTATATACCCCCACTTTGGCCTCCAGGAATCCTCAGGAGAGTGTAGTGCCCCCACCCTTTCTACCATTCTTAGCTCTGCTTGCCAAGTACTTTTAAGGGCCAGAGAACCCTGGGCCTGTAGGAAGAAATCGCCAGCAGGAGGGGTCTCAGCTGTGCTATGTGCCCACACAGCTGGGGTCCTCCATTCCTGCACAGGTTGAGAGAAGAGCATAGGCTCCAGAGTAATCTCTCGGGCCAGCCAAGGTCTGTACCTTCCCCTTCCTCCCGCCTTGGGCCATCTGGGTTGGGAGCCTCAGTTCCCTTCCCTCCCTAAGGCCACCTCTCCCAGGTTCTTTCACAGATTGTCCTGTCAGTCACTTGGTGAGCTGGGGCCTACAGGATGAAGTGGCCCAGGGGCTCCAGCCTGCCCACAAGAGGACCCAGAGAAATTGTGCCTAGAGCCAACATCTGACCCCACTCTTCTGCCTCAAACAGATCCCACACTTCTAACAGCATGGGCCTTGCCGTGAAGGCTGCGTGCCCACAAAACTACTTGAATGAGCAAATGAGGTGGTGGAAGCCTTGGCCCAAGAATGGCTGGGGCTTCCTTGATGGGCTTGTTTCACATTCCTATGGGGTGACATCCTTGGCTCCTTCGGCTGCCTTAAAGTACCACTGACCCCACTGTGGGGCTCACCAGGGCTGTGCCAGACTCCCCAAGGTTGCCAGTGGGCACTATGGTGGCAGCAATAACCACATCGCTCATCCTGGACCCCCAACCCACCCTTCTGCCCACAGCCCATTTCGGCCCCTCTGGTGCTACCCCTTCTGCCTGGTTCCCAACTTCTATCCCTGTACCAAGTCCTTGATGAGAGCCTTGGTGAAGCCAGGGTCACAGGGATCCCTGCCCACCCCAGCAGGTTGCCACAGGCTTCATGCTGCCCTTCCAGGTCTCACCCCGGGGTTCTTTTTCCTGTCCCAGTCTATAAGGCAGTAACTCATGTGCCTTTCCCACTCAGGACCTGCACCAGTAGTATTGGGGCCAATGCCAGTCTCTAGACCACTGCTGTCATTTTGCAGGCTTCCAGACATATCATGAGACATACATTTAGTGGAAGGCATGGGCCAGCAGGACTGCTCTGAAACTGCACATGGTCCCATGGTAATTGAATGGGCTACTGACCTTTTTAACTGAAAAGACTTGGGCAGAATGAAGCAGTTGGGAAGCCCTGGGGTAAGAAAGGAGGGCAGAGATAGGCTGTGTAGTTGGTCTTTGCTCTCTCCCTTCCTGATATCCAGCCTTTTGTATGTGTGTGTGGTTTGGGGGATTGAACTTGGGCACTTTACCACTGAGCTGCATCCCTATCCCTTTTACTTTTTTACACTAAGTTGCTGAGGCTGGGCTTGAAGTTGTGATCATCCTGTCTCAGCCTCCCTCAGTATTGGGATTACATAGCCGCTTGTTTCCAGAAGCTGCCTTTACATTGAGGCTGGGGGAGCATCAACTTGTGTGAGGGCAGCAGCCCCACTTTTCAGGAGAGGAGAACAAGGCTCCAAGGGACCCAGCAAGGTAATGATAATGGCATTAGGATTCCAACCCCAGACCCCAGCCTGCACGACTTTGCTGACTACAACACCCTGGTCGTCTCCTACCTGCAAGGTCACAGTCCAGCCCCGAAACCAGTTTCTCTATTCCCTGGACAGCAGCTTGAAGGAGTTTCCTTGGGAGAGGTCCTAGTATCATGTCAGCCTCTTTCTTAGAGGAGAGCTGCATTTGGCCCTAATGAGTGTCTCCTTGGGGGACTTCTGGTCCAGCGCAGGGAGATGGGGTCCAGGCTTGCTTGAACACAGGCCCATCAGGGAGCAGTGGCCAGGTTTCCAAAACCCAGAAGCACAGGAATTGTCACCATCCAAGGTCCATATCCCTGCTCTCTGGCTGCCAAGGCAGGTCAACTCCTGAATGGAAATTATTCCTCGTTCCCACTGTGGGGTTAGATGGCTGCCCTAGCAAAAGAGGAGGAGATGCAGTAGTTGCCAAGCCCTTCAGTTTTATTCCATTCTCACAGCAGTCCCAAGAGATACTAGTTGCAGGCCTGTTGAACAGATGAAGAAACTGAGGGTCAGGGTAAGGATGTTTCTAATCTGTAGTCACACAGCCAGAAGACCTAGGATCCAAGTTGTGTTCCTATCCTCTCTAGATGATGGTGCCAAACCTGTGTATTGAGGTCTTATGTCTGCTTAGATGACAGCCTCAGAAAGCAATAAAACTTTCTGCTAATTTGGAGAGCTAAGGTGGGGCTCTGTTGAGCTGTCAGCTGCAGGTTGATGGAGCATTGCTGGCCAATGTGGAGATCACTAAATCGCATGGGAAGCTGGAATATTCTTGGAGCACTTGGCTGTGTACTCATACTGTCCTTCCTCGGTTCAGATTCTCAGATTTGCTTGCATCCACCCAAACATCCTCCTACTATTCTCAGGGTCCCACTCCTTTCAGATCAGTGCCCTAAATTTCATGCAAGAGATCCGGCAAGGCTGTGAATTCAACTCATGTAACTGCAACCTGCAGGATCAACTCTAGGGTTATGTTTTCAGTTGTATCTGTCCTATGGCTACAAGATATTAAAGATGCTTTTCTGGTTGTTAAAGATACTCTCTGGTTTTCTGTCAGTGCCTTGAGCTACATTGTGGATCAGGTTCTTTCTGCTCAATCTCCAGTTGTCAGAAGCCACCAGACCACACCAGTCACTAGGTATCATCCCCATGGCCACAGGTGGGGGCAGCAACCATTTTGTCTCCCAGGTTTTGTTTTCAAAGGATGCTTCACCCCAGCACTTAAAATAGGTGGGTTTTTTGTTGGTTTGTTTTTGCTTTTTGAGACGAGGTCTTGCTATGTAGTTGAGACTGGTCTTTAACTCACTGTGTAATCCAAGCTGGCCTCAAATTTGCAATGATCATCTTGCTTCAGCCTCCCAAGTGCTGGGATTACTAGTGTGCACTACCTCACCCAGCTAAAACAGGTATTATTGAAAGTGCAGGGTTTGCTACTCAGTCTATTTTATGTTTGCATTACAGAATACTCGAGTTGATAATTGATAAAGAATGGAGATACGATTCTTACCATTCTGGGGGCTGCAAAGTTCAAAGTCAAGGAGCCCACATCTGGTAAGGGCTGATCATCTCAGAGCAGGAAGTGAAAGGAGAGCCTTGCCCATCCTGTATATAGATTCCACTCCTGCAATAATGGCATTATTAATCCAAAAGGGTAGAACTCTCATGACCTAATTACCTCTTAAAGGTCCCACTTCTCATCACTTGCATTGGGGATTAAATTTCCAACACATGACTTTTGGGGGGAATATTTAAACATTTGCACCAAATGCTGAGACTTCCAGCAACCATTTTCCCCCTAACAGTGAGATTTTGCCTCCTGGTTTCCAGCTCAGTAGGGGCCCATAAATGATTCCAGGTTACTAGCTTTGAGGGACTGGTTCCTAGGAAGATATTTCTACTCCTGAGAGCAACATCAGCCAGGGAAGAGTTAGGAAAATGGAAACTTGCCAGGTGCTTCAAACAGGGACTGGTTACAACTTGAAAAGAGCAGAGCAAGGAGGTGGGGTTTTCAGAAGCTGCCTTTACATTGAGGCTGGAGGAACAGAAGGTGCCACCCAAAGCTATGATCCCAGAGTTACTGATGGTGTTAAAACTTACAACCTTACAGGCCCCAGGAGCATATCTGCTGGTCACTGCTGCTACTTCCAAATCCAGTAACACCACACTACTTCTGACACCTGCCAGTGCTTCCTCCCAGGCAGTGTCTTAGTTACTTTTCTGGTTGTTGAGCAAAAATATCCAACACTGAAAGTTAAAGGAGGAGAGGTTTATTTTGGCTCACAGTTTGTAGAGATTTCACTTCATAATGGGCTGGCTCCAAGGCAGGGCAGCATGGCAGAGAGGCATCGCAGAGAAACAGTGCACAATGGGAAGAAGGCAGCAAAGTAGTAAAGCAACAGCAGGACCACTAGCAACCTTCTTTCTGTCCCTTATATTCTATCCAGGCTACAAACCCTCAGGGTGGGTAGCACTCACACCCAGGTTGGCTCTCCCATTACCCACATCAAGAACCGGCCAGGTGTTGTGGTGCACGCCTGTAATCCCAGCACTTCGGAAGCTGAGGCAGGAGGATTGCTGTGAGTTTGAGACCAGCCTGGGCTACATAGTGAGTTCCAGATCAGTCTCAACTGCATAGTGAGACCCTGTCTCAAAAAAACAAAAACAAAAAACTATGCCAAACCAATCAGTGGACTAGTAATCACACACCTTTGATCCCAGCATCCCACACTCTATATCCAGCCACATTTGAAAAGCCCTACCTATGACTGCATGGGGCTTTGAGGGACATCTAGATGCAAACTATAGCACACAGGTCCTGGCAAATGTAGTTTGCATGCTTTCTACCCTTGTGTGATGCAGCGAAAGGATGTAGCAGATCACAGGTAAGTATTTAGGATAAGCAGCAATATTCTTGCTTGCTATGAGCTATAACATGACACATTGGCAACACATTAACATGGAAGACAATGCACAATAGACAGTGATGGAGCTGGTAATATGACTCAGTGGCATAGCTAACCTGTGAGGTCCTAGAGTCAATCCCCAGCACTGGAGACAGACAGAGACCAGGGGTGGGATTGGGGGGACAGAGACTAAGAGTAACTGTTAGGTAGACCAGTTTACCCATTGTTACTAACTCTGGCCAATCATATGCCAAAGTCTATAAAAAATGAAAGCTTTCTGCCTCATGGATGAAAGCTGTTCACAATACAGCTGGGAAGCAGAGAGACCACGGAGGA